GGAAAACCCCCCCCCCGCCACTTTTTCCACCGCAAATCCCACTTGACCAGACCCGAGATCGAACCTGGACCTCCGCTGTGGGAAACCAGTTACTAACAGTTTGAGCTATGGCGCGCCCCTTCAGCAAATCTCATTTACAGCGATAAAGCAAAATACAAAATTCTCATTGTACTCAAACATCTTCTGTTACAAAGCACAATATCTCGTTAATCTACGCAATTAATATATTTGATCTTAATTTATTATTAGTTCGACAGTAGATACAATGGTTATGTTACCATAACTCTTTCGCCTATTAACGTTTTATATTATGCGAATATAAGATTATGTTTCTCCTCTCGCTCCCATTGTGGGGCATAGGGCTGATTTATCAGTTTCACGATCATTTCTACAGAAGGTAGGACTCCTTGGACGGGTGATCAACTCGTCACAAGGCCACTACCTAAACACAGGATAACATAAACACAGAATAAACGCATTCACACACTTGTCTTGTGCCGGATTCGAACTCACGATCCCGGCTTCCAAGCGATAGAAGACAGGTCTTAGACCGCTCTGCTACCGTGACCGGAGAATATAAGACATGGGTTGGTATAATAAGTAGTACTTCTGTAATACATACAAAACTAGTTAAGAAATTACGAATTTTCAAAATTTATATTTTCTTCCGATTTTCTGATTTAACATTGATAATATCAAAATATAAGCACGCTTATCTAATTAAGCTTTTTTCGCTAGTTTAAATACTTTTCATCAAGTAGGCCTCTTACCCTCTATTTATAACATTGCAAGCGGAATAGTAGTTTCAAATGCGTGAATATGTTTGTACCATTCCATGGCCTGTTTACCTGTTTACTTAATTACTTCATTAACCTTACCTCATTACGTCATGAGGAGAGAGAGAGAGACTATAGTGATATCATCATGCCCGTGGTCTCTACTCTTTAATAACTGTTCAGTCAACTGATAGACTTCATGAAATTTGGCAGAAGAATGTCACTAAAGGCCACAAAATATTTTATTATTTGACTGACAACTTTTAATATTTGCATGAACATTCTTTAGGTATGTTTCCTGATCGAAATTGTCCGTATAAATATACTATTAATTTCCATTACTTATTTGTGGTTTGCCGTTTATTTTTTCGGCCCTGTACGTGATGAGAATATGAAATGACTAAACGTAATAGAATTGCTGAATAATAATTTTGAGAGCATTTGGCAGAAATTCAAAGCAGCTCGATAGAAGTACTGTTCCTATAAATGCCTGGAGGTACTGAGGATAACCAGGAAAAACCTCAGTCATGAAGCTGGTGTCCCTGTCGAGATTTGAACCGATAACTTCCCGGATATAAATCTGAAACTTTACCACTGCACCAATCTGCTTAGTGTGCATTCATTATTAAGTTATGGATCCTGATAGCTGCAACCCGTGGTATATGCGTTTCGTGAAAATGGGAATTTCAAGTTCTCTAGTCAATTTTTACTCAGAACTTAACATTTTCCTTAACTTACATGTTAGAAAATATAAACAAATACGTAACAAACGTGTAAAACATTATTATTAAGTTGATGGCATTCAATATTAAAATTCAGAAGTAAACAATTTTAACTTACGTTCAGGTTCATTTGTTTTAATCATTATAATGCTACTCTCGGACTCAGGTCTGGAAAGTGACGAGAGGCAAGCAATACTTTAGGATGCAAGGAATCACTTTCAACTTGTAACAGCAGTTACAGTAAACTGAAAGTGATCATTGTTGATTTATTACACTTTACACATGACTTGCCTAGAAATTATTGTTATAGCTTTATACACAACATTATAGTGATATACTCGTACTACAAAGGTAGTTTTGCTTTTGCATGCAAATCACTGTAAAGTGTTCTGGAGCTTTTAAAAATGTTTGAAATTTTAACATGTTTGAGTGCAAAGACATAACGAATCACAGATTTAAGACTTATGAAAACTGAAAAAACATCCAACTATAACAATCACACTTCTGCATTCCTTGGAGAAATATTGGTTTGAAATATTACAAACCAGAAGTTAACTGTAAAGGCGCGTCCACATTACTAGTGCTCGTGCTACTCGGGAGACTCGTCTGACTTTTACTTGTGCTCGTAAATCTCCGTCCACACTATTTCATTTGCTCGCCAGGCTTCGGCGCGTGAGGATCCGTATATTTACCCGTATTGTGTATAGGCTGTAGTCGTATTTTAATTTATTGGCTATAGTTTTTAAATTAAAAATTAAAAATTTTAAATTTTTTAAAATTTATCTCCTGACTTGTCATATCGTCTACATTACTCGCGAGCATAGCGAGTCACACGAGCACGAGTAATTTGGACGCGCCTTAAGAAATTCAGTCAGAGCGTGTAATGTGTTTTATAATATTACTGTTAGGCGGAAGCAAGGAACTNTTCTAGTTTCAAATTCTTTCTTCATTCGATACAAAAACTAAACAATTTCGATCAGACTACAGATATATATTGTAGATACAGCATACATAATTTAACACAACTTCTGAAAATTTTGCTTTTCGATAGGCACATAGACCGCCAGAGGCATTTCTCAGTGTGTATGTGTGTGTCCGCCGTTTCTCCATAATAAATTTGCAGCTACTGAATTATTTTAATTTGATTTGTTGTGAACGTCGCGCTATTGGAAGCTATGCAACCCGCATACGTCTAAACATCTGTCATAGGAACATGGCGACAGTATGAATTTCAGATGTGGCATCAACAAATGTTCCTTCTATTACAGAATATATAATAATATGTAATAAAATTAAATAATCACCATTCATGAACACATTGTAATTATTACTGTGTAACCTATAATTTCCGCCTCTGATTGATGTCAATGCTCATTAATTGCTGCTGGAAATATATTTTTTTATACAGACAGATCATAAACACACCTATAAATATGAAATATATCTCGTAAGATACAAGTAGTAAATACATCACAAGTGGGAAAGTTGCAGGCCAAACTATTTTGTAAAGAAAATCTATTCAGTCTTGCAAAAATGAATCACTAATAGTTTAATTACCGGTCATTATATCTCAAAAAGAATCAGTAAAGTACGCTTCATAAATTCTTCCTCAGACTTATCGTCTTCATATATCTCGGAAGAAGGAGGTATTCGATATTGAAATTTATGACTAAAAAATATAAGGTTGCAAGTTGAACACAATGCTTTCATGACCTCATTGATTTCCTAGGAAAACAGGAATGTCGCACTGTCCCAGATATTTCGAGGTGCTCAAAGCTTTGGCTAAATTTACAGCAACAGTTTTTGTAGGATTAGTATGTCACTAAGGGGAGAACACAGTGGCCGCGAGGTCTAAGACATGGAATTATTTCGTCTACTCGAACACTTGGATCATGGGTACGAATCCCATTGAAGCCATGCATGTTTGCGTTCATTCTGTGTTAGTGTTTTCCTGTCTAGTTAGAGGCCTTGCGTCTGGCTGATCACCTGTTCAAGGAGTCCTACCGACTGTCTAAGATTAAGAAACTGAAGTGAAACGAAGCGTTTCACAGATGCCCTATGCTCCAAGTGGGAGGAACAGGGATAAATAGATAAATACATAGATAGATAGATAGATAGATAGATAGATAGATAGATAGATAATATTACTGATGGGAATAATCCAAATGTCATAAATAACAGAATTTGTAATTTAGGCATCAATTAGTCATGCAAATTCTGAATATACCTATCTCTTATTTAACTAATGTTTTCTCGTCATAAGGAGAAGGGTTGTTAATAAAACCTGCGTTTCATTACATTTACAAACCATTCCCGTCTTCAGAATTATTCTAATCAGTCCCTTCTAAACCCCATCTCCCCGTATTATCGTCTAGAAGTGTCACCACTAAATTCCTGCTGTCTAGGTATGCACGCTGCTGACAATAGTCTTCGGACTGGGTGCGGCTGAACAACAGAAACGCGGCCTAGAAGAGTACGCATATGGTGGAGGAATTATAGAGGGCGGTGGTGAGCAGGAGCACCAGCAGGAGCACGTGAGAACCATCATAATCACCAAGAAAGTGCCCTACCCTGTCCCCAAGCCCTACACGGTCACGGTCGAGAAGAAAGTCCCCTACGAAGTCAAAGTTCCTGTGCACGTGACCGTCCCTAAACCCTACCCTGTGGAAGTACCGAAACCTTACACCGTAGTGGTGGAGAAGAAAGTTCCATACACCGTTGAGAAGAAGGTACCTTACGAGGTTAAAGTCCCTGTCAAGGTACCGTACCCCGTGCCTCACCATATTGAGGTTCCCAAGCCCTACCCCGTGCACGTCCCTAAGCCCGTTCCCGTCCCTCACCCTGTGTATGTCGAGAAGAAGGTACCAGTTTACCTCTCTCACGAAGAAGAGGGTCTGATCAGTGGCGGCACCGAGCAGCACGGACAAGCTGAGAGTTACAGTAGCTTCAGTCTGGGGGGTGGCCAGGAATATGGTCACGGAGGCTACTAATCTCACCGTCGCGTCACCATGCCATACCTCAACAGCACATCATAACTTATTCAAATATCATCCAGCGCATTAACACTCATACAAATCATATGCAGAATTTTAAGGGCAATTACATGTTTTAATTTTCAAGACGTGTTTTATTTATTGATCAAAATACCTTAACCTACAACAAGCAAGCTCGTATAGAGTCAACGCCCTGTACTTGTATCCTGTATTCCGACTGGTTACACGCTCTACTGTCCGAGGGCCTTCATGCGGTCCCACGAATTCCACAGTCGAATAAAGGCGGAGTACCTTGATTAAGTCCCTTTCCTCCCGAATTTTTAACTCCCCATTCTTTGTAATTATGCTCCAACTTTAACTATCCAGCTGAAACAGCTTTATTGAATAACATAAGATTCAATAATCCTGTTACCTATAGGCCCACTCATAGATACATATCACTCATTAATTTCTTCAGTCAGTCAAAAGACTGATGCAGTTCTGAAAATCTCCAGCTAAGATCGGTTAATGAGAAGCTGCATCCATGTCTGATGTAGCTCATTCGTAGATTCTAAAGGGTTCTGATGATGACGAATGACACAGAATTCCTGGGGTTATGAACTTTTTCCATCGTCTGGAATTTTAGGTAATGGAGGACACGACGTTTCGGAAACTAGATCTGTTTCAGTTTTCAGTTATTTAGATTAGCTCTTTCTAAGGGGCCCAAATGAGTAGGTGTCTTTCTTTCTCACCTGAAGACGGAAACAGATCCAGTTTTCGAAACGTCGTGTCCTCCATTACCTAAAATTCCGGATGATGGAAAAAGTCCAAAACCCCAGTAATTCTGTGTAGTTTATTCGTGTTTCATATCTCCTTTCCTTTTATCCTCATTTATTGAGACTCAAACCTTACATCAGGGCTATTATCATTTATTTCCCCTTAATAGCTTTAAATCGTGTAGATGACAGCTCTCTTAAACAGGTTTCACTTGTTTAGTTCAACCTTTCTTATCTAGCTTCCGGTTTGCATACATTATGTTACGCCTATCATGTGGCCTAACAGGTTACTTAAATGAGCATTACGTACATAGCAAATCATATTAGCGTTTATTATTTTTATATTTTACCTCATTTAATTTAGCTCCATGCTTCAATAATTAAGTTCCTCTGAATATCTCTAAACAATAGGAATAAAAATAAATTTATATATAATGCCTTTCATTGTATATATAAACATAATTCCGAAAGCTGCCAACTTCTACCTGAGCACGAAATGTTCGTGCCACAAAGCCGTGGTTATGGAGAGCTCTATTCTGGAATATAACACCTTGTAGTCCGTTGAAAATGCTGAAAATGGAGGCTATATATTTCTCCGAAACATCTCCTTTCAATGGAGTAGACAGTAGTATAATTCTTATGTTTTCATTCTATCCCATATATTACGGCGTCGAAAAAAAACTCACACAAACCATATTGTGAACTCATTTTTTTGTCTGACGTGACGTTTCTGAGAAAACCGCCTAACTTCAGATCACGAACTTGCCTGAAGTGTTAAGTTTTCTTCTCTGCGAGGGCATGCTCAGGTAGATGGGTCGAGCCCTCTTCCTGCCAAGCCATGTAAACTCATAGCGAGTAAGTCTGCTTAAGTGGGCGGGTGGGGGGCGGGGGGTTGGAGCGCTGTCTAGACATCTGCTGTGTGTGGCTGATGTGAACCATATCTGAATTTCTTCCAAAACTTTTAATATAGACCTTCCCGTAACAAATGCCGTCAAAATTTGTTCATCAGTTTCAGAAGAGAAATATACGGACTGAAAGGAACATCATAGACGCTGTATGTTATTATGTTGGAAAATATTTGTTATATTTAAATTATACAAAATTTCGTTACCGAATCTGCTTCCTCTATCACATGTAAAAAGAGAAAGGGTTTTACTCTGTCTTGCCCTTTAGACAGAACTGCACCAATACTGAGACTGACTTTGTTTAACTTGTCCGAGTAAGATCCTTTTTTTTACACATGATGACGGAAGCAGATGCAGCTGCTGAAACGTCGTCCAACATAAGGTTGCAATGAGCGACAGACTATTGTCATAGATCTTTATGTGGTCACTGGATACATTTTGTGCAAAGAACGCAAACAAGAAGCAAATATGATAATAACAGATGAAAATTAATCATAAAAATTCTTTGTTCCTGCTTGGGTGCCTACTGATGTACTAAAAGCCCCATTTGGGTATCAAGACTGTTTATCTGAAGTCATTTTAAGAAATAAGCAAAGTTCATTTCCGTATACTAAGATCATAACATTACTCATCTTGCAAATAATTTTTGTAGGAACAATCCAGTAGAGTCTGGCCTGGCTTCAGGCTGCTCCATTACTGGAGATAAATCCTGAGCTTCTATTGTTTACATCATAAGGTACGACACTAGCTATTTCATTTCTGAAAAAATTTTCATCCTATCCGAAATTTGCTCTCCTCCCAATAGCATATAATGAGCTTTCTATTTTGCGTGCGTGAAATTTCTTTCCGACTTATCAGCAGCCAGACTGTGTAGCATGAAATTGTGCTATCACAGATGGATGATGAAGGGAAGAAGATTTTGAACTCAGCTGTCGTGGCTTAAGCATCATTACTTCGGAGCGACCAAGGATGACCACGAAACACCTCAGTTATAATACCGATGTTCAGGCGGAGAGTAAAACCGAACATCACCCGCGCGTTTCGGCTTCTCTCGGCTCGGCTTGGCACGGCACGGCACGGCACGGACAAACGCCGCTTTCCTTACTGTTGCGTAACTTGGCAACCGACCGTTTATCAAGGGTCTGTCTTCGTGGTAAGTCGTTCCACCTCCCGTTGTCCAGCAACGGTTAGACATGTCACAGTATCTATACAATTACCTCTGAGCTGATTTGCTCTGTCTAATTCCCTTTAGAAAATAGGTGATACACTTAATAATGATATGACTTGTACATTGAGAAGACTACAGTTTAACTGTCTTCAGAATGGCTTCCCACTGCAGCGGCCAGGGTTCGATCCCGGGTCTGGTCAAGTGAGATTTGTGGTGGACAAAGTGGCGCTGGGACGGGTGTTCTCCTAGTACTTCGGTTTCCCCTTCCAGTCTTCATTCCACCAAATTCTCCATCATTATAATCACCCCGGGCAGGCTACAATAGGCCAATCAGTGGCCGCCGTGCCGAGTGGACCCAGTTGGACTCCACCCCCCACTTAGGGGATTAAAACAAAATTATACAGACTTCTAACGAAACTACTGTTGTTTAGGGGAACCACATCATATGGTAACATGTAATAAGATACTTTAGGTGGATGTCGGCTGTTGTATATTTGTGCCTCTCGTATAACATGCCAGACGTAACATTCACCTCCATAACGCCATCCACAAGACAGGTTTCCCATTACAGGCTCGCTTCCTGTTTCCGAAAGTCACGCGTCTTCTCGATGGCAGGAACAGATAACAGGGGAGTCTGTGCAGCACATTTTACACGCGCCTTATTCTTGGGCATACAAAACGCAACTTTCGCTTTAATATACAAAACCGGTTTACACATGATGTCATATTTTATACCGGAAGTTATGGGAAAACTAATCTCCTACTTTCTCTGACACGACGCGGACCGCATAGGAAAATATGCGTCAAACAGTTCTTGTATTTTTGCGTGTGTAATATTTGCCGCGGTAATTTTTTTTTACCGTGCTGTTGCCGGGCAACTATGGAGGATACACATGCAGACACACAGAAAAATGGGAGGAGTTTATGAAATACGCCGTTGAGATGAGCTCAGGTGTCATGATATTCATACCAAGTGTCATAGAAACTAGTTAGGATATTCGCATTTAATGAAGTGGGGGATTCACAGACACATAGGCAGGGAGCAGATGTCATAAGCCTACTTTCATTTATTCAAAATAAGGCCAGTAGAGTAAGAAAGGTAATACTGCTTATTTACCACATGCGCTCATATTGAAAACATGATTTGCGCTATTCTGAAGAGTTTCTGGGCGCTCTGAATTTGGGACCTATTCTAAAATGTTTCTCTTCAACTCTCTGCACTATGTTACACGGTTTAAAAACAAAATAGTTCACCAGACCGCCTTATATTTATCTAGGGAGGAAGGGTAAAAAAAGTAAAGTTGTCCCTGTGCCATATAATTAAGCACTATGCCATAAAGGAGCATGGGGGCGTGCATGTATGGATCCACATAATCTTGACCTCGGCACTAGCTGGAGGTGAGTGGACAGCTTCACGCCCTTGTCGCTTTACCCCAGGGGAAGTGTCCAGGATATCTATTGGATAGGAGGCTGGGTGGCTCCCAGAGCCAGTCTGGACGACGTGAAGAAAATTCTTGAGCCTACCGGGACTCGAACTGAGACCCCTCTGTAGACCAGCCCATAGTCAGTCGCCATACCGACTTAGCTATCCATTATCCTTGGGAAGAAGGGCGTAGATAAAACTGACATTATCTTAATAATGCATTAGCTCTTAGATTGCTTATGACGTGTCACTAAAATATTGTTATACTGTGTCGAATGCCAAAGAAAGACGAAGATGGAAGATGAGTGTATAAGTTTTTCGAAGGCACTGGCCTTTACATTATGAGAATGCTCTATTTTGGTGCTGACAGAAAACCCACTGAAAATATTCAGCAGAGTAACCGCCAACTAGACTAAGGGTCTATTGCAGCACTTCCTGATTAACATTACCGTTACGCTGATCTGCTGGGTTTATTTTAATTAGACGACATGGAAACCAAATGTCGCAATTTGTGTGCTACACTGTACAAGGCTTCGAAAACACTGGTATCTTATTTTTCCTTACTGATTAAAAGATTGAATTTTTGCTCTTAATCTCCTTATCAAGGTTTTTCTAATTATAGGAAGTTAAAGAAACGCATAACTAACTCAAATGTGCACACATAAGACAATAAAAACGGTGAAATTCCCTCCAATAACACCATAATCCAGGCTTTCAGTAACACAGTCACTAAGTATCAGGCAACT